TTTTGCTTGTTTTTGGTTTGTAAAAATGCGAAAACCTGTCATTAATCAATCAGTACTCGTACACCAGAACATGTAGATATTACACGCTTGTACACCAAATTATGGTCTTCCTCTTGTAGTGTAATGGTTTTTGTAGAGTGCAATCGTATTATTATACGTATTATGTTAAAAGCGAGCGCGGTTAAAAATGAAAATCGCTCACGCCTTTCGCTGGCCGCGCGCACTGCTTTCTTGCCTTCATGCATCACGATAACGCCAAATTGCGCATCACTTAACCCTTGACGGACGGTTTCCTTCCGCCTTCGTGGCACACATGCTCGCGAGCGCGCCGCCCACACCATAGCCATCTCACAATTTCAAACGGCGCATTGGATACTTTGAATTGCGATAATGAAATAATGAAATAATGAAAAGGCAATCATTCCGTGTTATATTTCGGTATAAAAATTTTCTCGCGAGTGTACGATCACGCAATTCTCTTCAATTCGCACTCAGTCCATCTGGGAGTTTGGAGTCTTTTCTGACATAGTGATTGTTCTGATCGGACAAGACCTTAATCATATCTTGATTTCGAAACGCCCACGGACGAAATTGCGACGACGCACGCGATGCACTCGCGCAATTGCATACACGCTGTGAAAAATTTACCTCGTGCAATTTCTCATCGCGCGTGTGATAACTAATTTAGTCATTTGAGCACTAAAACCCAGGCGATGTTATCATCGTGCGAGGAGGACAAAACTGCTTTGGCGCGCGCGTTTTACAAGGTCCTCGTGTTGCCATTAGGCGTTGGAAACTAGCTTACTGGCGATTATAAATGTAATTCCGGCATAAACAAGATAGAGCTTCCAGTGTGGGGATAATCGTCGCGCGAGGGTCTGCCTGCGGAACGCCTTCGAACATTTCCACTGATATGCAAAAGCGAGCCGGGCCGTTATTATAATCCATGATTTTCGTAATTCGCGTAATTCAGATAGGGACGCACTAACATCTCGTCGTTACGCGTAGTGTTATCGCCCTAAAAGTGGGAGCAATCTGGACCCACTACGTGTTGGGCACGTGGCGCGACTTATGAACATTGCTTTAGTTTAGAGGTATGAAACGATTTGTCAAAACATTACTTGTAAATATGTTTCCTGCCATCCATATAGATAATACTTTGAAAAATGATCTTTAAGTCAATTCTTATCAGTTGGTTTATGAGCTTAGCATAATAAACACCTTTTTCTTTCATTTTAAAAACACAGTTTTTGTAAAGCAACAAACCAAACTTGGAGGGTGTGATTGCTCCTGCGGCAGTTTCTCACTTCAGCGTTTGGTTTTCGCACTTTGCACACCAATCACACCGTGCCTTGGCTGAGAAATTCGCGGCACGTAACCAACAACGCGATATTACGTTCGGGAAACACGAAAAATTAACATCGCTGGTTTTATGACTGCTTAAAATTCACCGAAAGCCGTCGATGCCCATTCGCCCACCTTCACCCGCCACGCAGCCGGAGATGATGTGGAACCATAAAGAGACGCTTACTCGCTTGCAAAACCTATAGGGACACGGAGGGTGAAGGCAATATTCCGTCTTGAATAACGAACGATTAGCCTTATTGCATCAATAAGCTTTTCGCCGCTCGGCGATTTTAATTTAAACAATCGAAATGTTTCGTCCCGGCGCTACGGGCGTCATCGTTTTTTCTCTCTTTTGTTATAGCTATAGAGCTGCGATGTCTTGAGGTGGGATTCACCCGCGCGCGCTCCATATGCAAATCACGCGTGTCGTTTAGCTGCGAGATCAGTTATTTTATGGCGCTGCGCGAATCACCGAATGCCGAACCATATCCATTTATTGTATATTCGCCATTTTCCATTTCGCCTATAGGTACACCTATCTCTGTAGCGAGAGGCACCGCTAAGAATTTGGAATCTACGCTGCGCGTTTGAACGAGGGGAGATGATAAAACTAAAACCGAATCGTGCGCTTTTTTTGCGCCGATAGATTTCCATTCCGCCATTTCATATATATAACGACAGTAAGGTATTGTAGCCTACCTACCTAGCTACTTGTATATGGCGCTATGGATGGGAATTGCTTTTTCTTTTTTGTGATACTTTTTTTCCAATGCGTTTTTCCTCCTTTCTACGAGTTTGCAAGCCGGGGAAAAACAACAATACAATTTTATACCGAAAAGCAATAGACACAGAAATTTCCGACGTTTCTATTTCTTTTATATTCATCCACCCATCTATTTCGACGATTGCGACGTCTACCAACGAAAAATATATATTTCCAATAGCACCATCATCATCAACATCAGCAAGACTTCGAAAATCTTTAAAAATACCTACGTAGCTACTTTGAACTTCGTCTAACGTTATATTCATAAAATTTATTTCGTCATTTCGGTGTCATTTTGCTGCATGCACGCACACGCATGACTATAAAGGGCGCGATCTTATTACTATTCAATGAGCCAGACAAAAAGAAATGTTATTTTTGCATATGGGACGCATTATTTCACGCTTCTAAGCGTCACAAATCGATTACATTCATCCCTTGATCGGCTATTACAAAAAAAATTTGTATCTTTTCAATTTTCAGAGATAAATAAATGTTTTGACGAAAAATATTAAATAATATGATTATTAATTACTGCTATTGTGGCAAAATAATGTTTTTGACTTTATTTTTTGCTGACGACGAAAAAAATACATTGGAGAAACGTTATGCGGCATTTTCGCCACCACGATGATCGTTTGCATCGTCGTCGCATTATGTCGTTTCGAACATATCTGGCGTAGAAATCGCGTTGGAATCCAAACGCGACGCGGCATAAAGGTGCGAAAACTCGCTGCGGTGGCGGAGGCGGAAAAATGGCGTGTTATTCGCCCTTATCAAAAGCATAAAACCGTCACGCGCCGTTTGGAAAATGTCCATTTTTACAGTTTCTCATTATGCGAGTCTATGAATAAATTCGCACTTTTCAGCCTCGCGGAAAGTTGAAGAAGAAATGGGGAATTAGAGATAAGCTCGGTGAAGCAAGCAAGCATTGGCAGTGATGCTGGGGGGTGGCGTGGCGACTGTGGCTGCGACTGTGGCGGCGGTGGCGTTTTGCCGTGCGTATTTAGATCTTTTAGGTGTGCGCTCGCTTTACGTCGAATAACAAACATGGCGCTCGTTCCACACCCTCCACTTCATCACTTTTATGGGACTCTTATGTAACAATATGGAAATATCATCTCATCGCTTACGTCGACGGCGCGCGTATTTCGGCATTAACGCGAACGCACCGAATATAAATTCAACAACTTAACTGCCGCACCACACCAACAGCCAAACCACACACACACGCAAGAATAATGCTAAAATACGATTGCAAAATATATATAACCTCAACGACATCTGGCGGCAATAAAACACAATATACATACTTTTATACCTTTTTAGTTACTATAAACTGACGACGAAAAAAATGTAATCAACATTAACAGATAGTACAAACAGATGTCTTTCGAAAAAAGTCCAAGTGAACAAAGTCTACAGCGACAATGACACGATGAGTCTCGGAATGAGCGCGTTATGAGCTCCGTCAGGTACTAATTAAAAGCGCACGAACCTACGAAGCGGCGTGTCACATCGCCTCCGAAGGAGTTTCATTCATTCGAGCACGACGACACCGACGACGACACGACTCGCGGCGTCGCATTAAGAAATATCAAGATGTTATCGCGATCTATTATGAGCCATCAAGCAGCGGGAGTCAGTCGGTGCCGCTGATGCTTTCACGTCGCTTGAAGTGTCGCCCCAGCGTCACGACACGTGTTATTATGACACATGATGATCGAACGGCGAGTTTTGTACGCGCGGAAGTATTTGTGCTTGTAGACATTAAAACTTTTTTTGCATTAAATGGTTGGTGTAGTTGGGTGTGTAGTCATCGTCACGTGTGTGGGTTCGCATAACGCACGAGTTAAGTGGTTCGCACGCGAGCTCTTAACGAAGCCATAAAGTAATGAAGAGGTAAATTATGAGCGCTCGCGAGCACGTGGGGCGTATACGCGTGCGTCGGCTCACAAATTATGTCGAAAAATGTTTTCATCTTTTAACTGCCGGTGCTGTGACGTTTAGTTTCACACCTCTTTGCAGAGATAAACGAGTGGGATGGAACTAATGCGTTTTTAAAAGTAATAAGTGTAGTTATAAATATACTTCCATAGGGTGTTAATAAATACTTACAGGAAACTACTAAGTGCTTTTTAGGAACTAAATCAAAATATTGCGTCTTTCACAACGGCTAATTCAACTTCAGGCATGGTAAATAACCGCTCAACACTTTGATTCTTAATTTGATGACCAAATATATGCTAAGTCTCTATAACTAATTTTCTATTAGACATATGGAAGATTTCTGAATTGACGAAATTTAATCAGCCATATCGTCACCCGAGTCACCCCATAATTTTGGAGGGTGCATATTTTCTACATTAACATAACACAAACACCGTTCCGGTACTATTTTAACGACCCCGAGCAAGAAAAGTAAAAAAAAAAAACGACCCTCTTAGTAATAGCAGCTTCCGTGGCTGGTTCTGGTCTTCCGACTTTTTGGGGCATATGGCGAGTGCGATGATGATGACGGCTATGACAAACGCGTGGAGTGACAGACAAAATATGAAGTTAAGTGAATAAATAGGGGTGACTTCCCTAAAAGATACCAACACCAGTCAGTCATTCATTAGTCATTAGAAATTTACATTACGCAGACTTCACAAGATTTCAAACAAACTTTTAAGAAAAAGTCGGTTAATCCGTGGCAATCGTTATTTTTGGCTAATTTTTCTGTGGTTGCGATTTAAGAGCGATCAGACGGGCCCCGGGGAATTTACCGCAGTTGACCCCCCCTCCCAACGGCTCTGCAGGTAGGTAGTACATGATAAATTAAAAACTTGTTTATAAACAGCAAATGTTAATTTGACCGAAAAATATAATTGAATTATAAACTTACCAGTGTATGTAGCTTATCGGACTGCCAGACACAACGAGTGCTGTAACTAAACGAAAACATAAATTAAAACAAAACTATTTCATACAATTGAATTATGTTATAATTAACAAATTACCTACACGAACCTGATGATGACCCGATTAATTTAGTAACCGACGCCAAACATAACGCCGAGTAAAGTATGTTATCAAATCCACTATCACGTGACTTGTAAAATACATAGCAAACGCGATCAAAAACCGGCATTTCCGAACATTACACAAATTACTAGAGTCGCAGAGCACAAGTAAATAGTCGATTGATCTTCGAGTATAACACAAATTTAGAATGTTGAAGTCCGAATAAACGAAATAAGTCTCTCAAAACACGAATGGATCAGAGACCGACACGAAACTGGCTGCAATCCACCGATTGTGCATGCCGAAACTGCGTAAACAACGACAAGGCAGTATATGATAAGAAAGCAAGAGGTGCGCAAAGACGGCGCGTCGAACGCACGCGACCTTGTGCGCGAATTTGCAATAGGCATATTACCTACCTGTGATCTAAACTAAACTAAACGTCGCTGCATGCAGCAAGTTGATGCGGCGCTAGGAGACAGCGCGCGGAACACACGCGTTAAAAACGTTGTTTACACCGAATCGCAGATAACAGCATTGTATACAAAACTATTCTCGTGCCCACATTTGTTGATAAATATAAAAATAAGCCGAATAACTTAATTTTATGATTCTTAGTGCATCCTAGAGCCATCTATGAATGTGACAGATACTAGTCCCACAATTTTGACTATTAAAATCATTAATTAATCTTCCCATGTGTTTCCACTTTTGTATGCAGTACATATTGTCAATTAACATGTAGAGCATCTCTTAAACTATAACATGGCCTTTAGAAACGCACAAAATGTGTATTAGTTTACGAGATACAGGCTGTTATCTAAGCCAACTTTTACACAAAATTAACACATTGTCACGAGTCTAAGATGAAATTTTAATTCATAAGAAAAAATGGGCATATGGAAGACAGCTGGATAATCATCCACGTACGGTGCCCTGAACACGAGTCACCTTTATCGCTGCCCTTGTACGGTGCCCTGAACATGAGTTATTTCTACCGCTACCCTTGTACGGTGCCCTAAACACGAGTCACTTCTACCGCTACCTTCATACGGTACTGTGAACCCGAGTCACTTCTACCTCTGCCCTTGTACGGTGCCTTGAACCCGAGTCACTTCTACCGCTGCTCTTGTACGGTGCCCTGAACACGAGTCACTTCTGCCGCTACCCTCATACGGTGCTGTGAACCCGAGTCACTTCTGCCGTTGCCTTTGTACGGTGCCCTGAACACGAGTCACTTCTACCGCTGCCCATGTACGGTGCCCAGAACACGAGGCATTTCTAACGACACCCTGCTACGGTAAACCGAATGAGACTCAACTAAACAATTGCGATTAATTGCAATATAACTAAATAAACAAGGAAAAATCAACGTTCTTAACATATTCGAGTCAATAAACAATACTAATTGTGTATTTTTGCTAATTTTTTGGTGTTTACGACTTAAGAACGATCAGCCAGGCCCCGGCAAATTTACCCCAGTTGACCCCCCCCTCCCTCGCCACGGCCCTGATATCATGTCGAAGGGTAATAAAGTGAACCCGGAAGAATCAGATCGGAAGCTGAAGCAATTCTGGCTCACTGGACGTCAATTTTTCCTTTGCTTGAATTTTTGCCCCCCGGTTCCCCCATTTAGCGTCGGAAGTGTCAGAACCATCCACAATTTCTACAGTTACTACTCGTACATTCAGCTACTGATACTGATGATGCTTATGACCATCACACACGTCCCGAAAGCAATTTCAGTGTAAGGGAAATGCGAAAAAGTCATAACCGATATGGCACACACACGCCAAGCGCAGTCGACTATAATGAAAACACTTCCGGTTTATCTGCACACCGCCCTCTTTCAACCCTCGGCGCGCTTATAACTGACGTGACGTTCCGTTTCGGAAACGACGCTCGGCTGATTAGCTCGCAACTTAAATTACGGTCAATCACGCCAAACTATTCATCGAACCCTCTATTAAGTCCTCGTATTATATTGATATTGACGTATAACATAAATATCGAAAATTTTGTGTGTACAATGCAATCTATTTTATTATAAATTGCCAACTGTTTATGGTCAATGAACGCTTCGCGATCGGAATGAATAATGCCAGCCGCATGCGATACGAATAATTTACGTATCGGGCAACGCGCGGACGCGCATATCGCACGGATGGAACATATTTTATTTATAAATAACGCGCGCGTTGCGTCCGGGGGGCGCGGAATGACCGACCGCGCGCTTTTTACAAATGTCGAACATGTATTCCCGTTCGATATTTATACCGCGCCGCGACCCTGTATGTGTAATATTTTGTTTTAATATGCATGATGAACAATGCGGAAATTGGCGCAACATTTGCAAATATTACCTACGTACGAATAAAATAAATGAAATATTTTGCGAGCGCAATAAATAAAACAGCACAACAATTTTGCTTGTGGTATGTATTAATTTGTTAGATATTTTATTTTAAAAGTGGAAAATGTTTTATGCATTTTTAAAACGCATGTTGCTCGCGACAGAATGATATACCTCACACCGGGGCTAACGGAATTACGTTACGGACGCATTTAAATATTAACGGTGGACACGCGTCGGTGTCGCCGCCCCGAAAAACGCCACTCGTAAAAAATCGCAATAAAAATAACAACCCACATAAATTATTGTTTTCGGTGCGTGGTGTGCGCATTCTGCACCAAAAACTGTGTACGCGGATACACATTTTAAACGGTGACATTCGCAAACGCAAAACATTAAATATGTATAAGAGGTTTGAATTATAGAATTATACAAAAAAAGAAACCAGCAGTGGATGCGACATTACGCCGTTTGTGCGGTTTGTTTAAGTGCAATGAGAATTCACGTCACAGCACACCTGCGCGCGCGCAAAAAAAGATCATCGCCGTTTACACGCTCGATCCACGCATTGGCAACGCAACGGAAGGAAAAAAAACGCAGAAAATTCGTTATTGTAAACATTCCGCTATGCGGTTTTATGATTTCTTCGTAACGCGCTGTCGCCGTCTCCGTCGACATTTCTGGGACCGGTGCGAATCATATTCTCGCACACTCGATTCCGATGCTCGTTTGGCCGGCGTTCGGCTGCAAATCGCTCATGAAAATGACACCTGCACACACCACGCAGCGCGATATTTCTCCGCGAGGTAATGCGGCGTGCAAAAATAAACAAATCGGCTACACCTTAATCGCTTATTATTCAACAAACGCGAGGCGAACGCCGAAACGATTGTGTGCATTCGACACGACAATCAATAAAATTATTTCTGTTTATATCGCCTACTAAATGACAAATTGCCTTCGTTTAATAATTTGCAAAAATGTTCAAACTTTCAATACTTATTACTCACCATAGATTTTCTAGTGTAGAATGCGGAGGTGACTGGAGAGCGTTTGAAGGTGATCGGGGGCGGTAAGGTTGGAACCGATCGGCGATAGTAAGCCACAATAGTGGCGCTTCGGGGAAACACGGCGCGTCGAATGCTCCGGTGTTGGGTTAACAAGGAACAATTCAATTGGCAAACCGGCGACAACTCTATTCCCAGCACTACCACTACAATCTTAAACAATATTCTAAAACATACTATAACCTCAAAATCAATTATTCTCAACAACGTTTCAATATCTGTGATATTATATGCTAGGCAACCAAGTTTTCACAACAAAATATTTTCAAAACTTTTAGGCATCTAATTAAATTTAGATTTGAGGAAGTAATCTGAATGCGCATTGTTTACACCCCACCTCAGATTTAGTAATCCCGACAAGGTGCACATTCTCCATTTTAACATAATGCTTAAGTTTGAATCATTCATTTCGCAACGATTACTCATTTAATCCAAACTAACGAGTTCGTCTCATCGCGTCGCCTGCGCGCCTCGGGTGGATTAAAGTGAAGTCAATTTCCACATCTCACGAATAATGCATACATCTAGAATCCAAACACAGTTGTCGTATATACCGAGTTGAGTCGCGTTTCCACCTCGTCGTCCGATTCGTTATGTATTCGTCCGCACTCACGAAAATATATGAATAATCTAAACGGAATGAATTACACTCCGAGCGACAGCTTTTCATTCCAATATTAATGGATGTCCGACGGACGCGAGGACGTTTCAGGACGTTTATTCCAGACAGCGGACAATAAACGCAGAGCTATAATATATTAGTTCGCAGAGTGGTTCGCATTGAATTGCCAACAGAAGCAGTGTTGTAGCTGTAGCAGAATTGATGCAAAACAGAACAGAAATGAAGCAAATCTATGCAGGGTGTGAAGAAGTGAGAGTGAGTGGTGGATATACAATAATCTAAAGTTAAGGAGAGATAGTTGCCTCCAACTACTAGGGTGGTGAGAGTATAGGGTGGCAATGTGTACGGAAATACGCCGGCAATCGCCGATCAATCACAACGTCCCGGACGTGCTCGAATAAATAATATCAGACACGTGTCGACACCTCGTCTGCAGTCATAATGTTATAATAATCGTGGCGTCTCAAGGGGATGCAAAATCCACTTCAACACATATACATAAATTCAAACGTGCCCACTCTAATAATCATCTTTTTTTTTTCTTTTTGAAAGTCAGTTAGTTCCATCGTCTTGATCAAAACGCAAATGCAAATTCAAATTATAACAATACCCATTATATTCACTCAAAAGTTCTGTTCGCTTAACGCTCCCCCCAGTACATTTTTCTATTCTGTGTCCGAGGACCCAAGGGCACTTCGTTACACTCCACCCCGACGCGTAATAATATAATAGAACAATTGCCGATTCAATTTGGATTTTTTACACCAGCGCAACAGACGACGCGTCAAATAATCGACGACCCTCTAATGCCGGGGTCGACCCTACACTCGTAGAGTATCCTAGTAAAAAGTATGTCCATGTAGGTGTGTTTGTGTTTTGTCTACTTCCTGCATCCGCGGAGCAAGTTGCGACAAGTGTTTAATGAAATATGGCCCCCGTTGGGAATATGACGCGCGTTGGGGACTCCCCATGAACAGTTCAAATTAAATAGTTTAACTTCGATTACTCTTATTCTTGCACGCTTCTACATGCTTCTCTGCACCGCGTTTATTTTATAAGTACTCATAAGAACCTGCAAGTTGAGGGAGGGGGTGTATTACAGTGGAACCCTTTTAAAAATATCATTTATTATCACGCGTGAAACTTATACTCAATATGTTCCGGTTTATTTGCAAAATGAGGGGTGCTTAATGTCGGAATTTTATAAATTTCAATCGTTGAATTGAAATTTTTATTCTGAATGTGTACGAACAAAACGCAATTGTGATAAATTTTATTGACATTTTCTACTGAATGTATCCGAATATAATGACTGTGTACTTGTGTTGTAAAATTTTAAGTTGATTGGTGACACTCTGTATCAAGAAGAGGGTAGCATCGTCTCTGATAATCCATGTATCCATCCGAGAGCGTATAAATAAAATTGATTAGGACGCATTCCGATGCGACCCCACTTTTCGCACTTTCCGTTTTGTTTTGTTTCCGCTCATGCCGAAATTTCCTGTTTCGGCTGGTAGACTTTTTGGGGCGTCTCATATATTTACGATTTTAATTATTTTTAATTTATAGCGGCGACGTTTTTCACTCCTGCATAAATTCATGCAACCTTCATCCCTCCCCGCCCTCAGCATTGCTCATTCCTTCACAACAATTCGCAACAATGGCCACGATACAATTTCCGTTTTGTATTTGCATTCTTTATTTCCATCTTTCCTTCGGTAGCGCGCTCCACGCCCGCATTGCGAAAGGTGTTTGGATGTAAATAAATTACACTTTACTCATCTGCGGCCATAAATCCTTGCAATGCATGCCTAAGAAGAAGAACGGGATGAAAACCCGGAAAGGAGTATTGCAAGCATTGCGGACGTTCGTATTCGCAGTCAATAAATAAGAGGATATAAAGCAATAAAAGTAGTTGAGGAGTATAGTGACCATCGAGAACCCTCTTTTCTATACCTCGCTTGAGCATGCACATGTGATTCCTTGATTTCCCAGTTGCTTTTCAGTTGAAGAATTCGTCTGAACTCACACGCAAAAAAGTAGTGAAAAAGCAACCCCCAAGAAGTGTGATGGGACTATTTTTTAATATGCATAAGGAATTTCGGTTCGGATGACCAACACCGGTCAGTGTACACGCGAGGAGTGCAATTGAAAAAGCCATCTCCCATATCAAAGGAAGTAATATTTGCTGAAATGGCCGAAAGACGACTCGGGAGGCGACGGAGGGTCAACACCGAATATCTATTTACCGAGAGTGGGAGTCCTTTTTAAAATGGTCACTATTCTCTTGAGGAATGGGGCAGCAGCAGTTCGAGGGAGGACTTGAGCACAATCGTGCAGAGTGACGAAATTGATTGCGTACAACAAGCGTACACAATGACCATCGATACATAGATTTATATTATACACATGTTATACAGAAGTTATTCAGGAGTACACGAAGGGGCACATTGTAGAGTGCGTTTTTCATCAGAGTGATCAATAGGATACATTCAAGCATATTGTTGGAGGACATCTACTCAAGTATATTAAAGTGATATTTTTACTTTAATTTTATGTTTAAATTAAAAGATTCAAAGTTGTTCAATCAGGGTAAACAATTTTGATTGAATATCACTACCAGTTTCATGAATAATCAGTTAGTTTACACTAAACATGACTAAATTAACGTTTTAAGCACTTTTGTGACATTTTTTCCTTGGAAAAAATCTATCCCTTGAGACTCCACATAACTCCCTGTCTGAGTACACGAGATTCTAACTATCCACTATTCTGCCCGTTGTCCACCAAATGTGAACGAGTCAACGAAAATAATAGACGAACAAATGTAGTTACAATATTGTTGACCCTAGCTACGACCCCCGATAATACGCTTCGCCATCGTACATCTACATCGAACGACATCGAATTAGATCAGGTCGGCGAGTCCGAGAGTGGAGTGGACGACGGGGGCGAAACAACCTAATGCAGCGGACTCAAGTACCTGTTCATCTATAATGCAACGAATGCATTATCAGATAAATCTGTGAATCAGCATGTAAAAGCATCTCCAGCTGCAGTCGCCCCGAGTGGAAGCCGAGCAGCAGCAGCAAAGGCCAGCGCGATTCGAGTGGACTTGAAGTCGGAACTGGCGCAACATCAGAGTGGATCTTGCTGAATTCGCACACCAAGGAACGAGAGAACTGAATCGGAAGTGAAATTTCAATGGTGCTCTAAATATCAAGCACATGATGACCTAAATGATCAGAAATTTTGTTGCAGCAAGAAGAAAAAAATTTGATCTGTCAGTCTGTCATTGAATGTTGACGTTAACATATCAACTTGTTTGCTTTTTCGCATGGAATAAAAAAGTCATTCCCGGTCATTCCGGGAACTCTTCATCGGAGTTTCAAAAAATGCAACTGATGCGTGATCGACCGGTCTCCGGCGAGCAAATTGCCCATTGTAGCTGTACGCGTTTGGCTACCGAAGAGCTCGAGGAACTCGCGTGGCTCTCGTGGCGCTTAGCAATTCGGCAATTCGCGTCGTTGGCGTACCTGGCGCGCGCGTCATCGGCCGAAAAGCCAACTGATTTATCGCCTCGCGGCGGCGCGCATCGGCATTCCGGCCGTTCGTTACATTGCGCAAACCCCGCGCGCCCAAGAAATTTAATTAATTATTTTAAACAGCGCACCAATAAGAATTTGCCTAAAAACTTTCAGCGGCAAAATGCAGCCGTGTTTGCAAAACCAGAGCCTTACTTCACAATACTTGGAAATGCGAATTTTAGTTTGAGTTCGAGTCCATGAAATCGTTTATTGAATACAACTTGCTACAGAACAGACAAAAAAACAATGTATCAGAACCAGACCGATTTAAATGCAAAACAATTATTTTTCCAGCGTATAATGGTTACATTTTTTTGATATCGACTGTATGCTACCGTAAATACTTGTAAACGTAGTTCTTTTTTGCTAAAATTTATTTTTAATTGCTCGCGAGACCAAACTTCTGCGAATTCTTCCCTTGTTCGAACTTGCGCGAGACAGTAGCACAGCAGCAGCCAAACGGTAATGAAAACAAAGAGCCAATTTAAATAAGCTTTATGTCCGCGTGTATTATATCCCCGAGACGAGCGCGAGATCTGTTGATAACGAAGCGCCGTCTCCACCTCGCCGTCGCCGTCTCCGTCGGCATACCCGTGTGGCGCTTGTGCTTTCCAAACTTGCAGCAAAGATCAAACCAACGACGAGCGTTTATTGTTTTCGACCATGCGAACAAACCCATAAGGAAACGAATAAACATCAGAAAACAAGTTGTGTGTGAAAAAAATATCCTGTGTGTGTATGTTTGGTTGCATATTTTACAAAACCAACCATTTTGAACCTTTTTTTATATTGAATGCCACCCAAGATGATTTGTAAAATGTGTAGTTTTAGTTTTAATTGAAACCAATGTTCAGTCACACGCTTTTGCACTTTTCTACGGTAAAAAAAACACATCATCAATAAAATATATATTGAATTTTATTTATTTTATGGCATGT